GTCTTCGTTCAACGACATTAAATCGTCGACGAGTGGTTTGCAGAACGCCTGCACGTCCGACGGCTTACCTACTCCACAATATATACCTACAGCGAAGACCTTACTTAATATTGGCTTCCTAATTCTGCCTAAAATAGGCCAACATTCACGTTTGGTCTTCCTATGGATTGGAAGACCATCTATTGCTAGGCTTACAACTACTTCTACCGAAGGGTGGAGAGCTAAATTACGCAACTGTGCGTTGACCTGAGTGGGAAGACCCAAATGCACGTACTCACCGCTGACCATTGCCGTGCTCGGTGCAGAGAAGTATTTTGCGCCCAACAGCGTTCGTGCGTCAGCACGGGCCTTATTTGACAGTCCCGTGTATTCTGTCGTTGTGGGTAGGATTTGCAATTAGACCAAATAAACATTCACATTCTAGAGGTCTTCAATCGCTGGAATAAGGACCACCACTCACCGCCAGCAATTAGAAAATGCATTTAAGAAGGGGCACGACCGCTATCAAAGGAAGTGCCATAGGGCTTCCCACAGTAGGCAATCAAAAGGTACCTATTAATATATTGATGCTATTATTATGTAACATAAATCTTAATATGTTTACTTACCACTGCCAAATCTTTCCCTTTTAGACCCGTCCTCAAATATCACAGAACCCGCCAATTACAACGGGGAGGAACAGGCATAATGTTTTGTTGTATTAAAACACAGATATATTAACAACTATTTTTTTATAATACAATTCTTCTAATCCAAACATGTGTTCCTATATTTACCTTACCGGGAATAAAGGGCGGTTATTAATGGGAATTGGGCAGCACAAGTGAGGGGAACCCCTGGTTGGGTAAGCGCTGGAGCTCGTTTTTTGGAGCTCGGGCCAAGCTCGGAACGACCTCGCTGGCCCGTTTTTCAGAGCTCATTTTGGGCTCGTTTTCGCGAGCACCGTATGAACTCTGATCGCTTACCATTTCAGAGCTCCAGCAGACCTCGCCTGCCTCGCAAAACGAGCTCCCTGCTAGCTCATTCAGAGCACATTTTGCTATTTGGATAGGCGTCATCGGGAATGCGGACCCATAACAAATGCCAAATGTGGTGGCAGACACAATTGTCGCTTCACGTCGCGCCAGTTGTGATCCTAACCGCCCTTCATTTTCGTTATTGATCAAAATCTGGGTCACGTGTTTTTGTGGACCAGGGGGCGTAGTGGTACGCCTTGGCGTGGGTTTGCGCAGTGCCAGCCGCCTGTGTCCTTTCCTGACCCCGGGCCCAGACGGGGGAGGGGGGAGTGCGGTAGACGCAGCTCAAGTTCACTATCACTATAAAGGAAATCACTCTCAAGTCACTGTGCCTGCTCTCACCCTACTGTGGAGCACATGGTGGACATCCTCGATATCGGTGGTTGAACCGTCGTGTGTGCAGTGACTGGCTGAAGGGCTAAGAGTCAGCTCCAAAGGCTCCTTCGTAATGTGACCTCTATGGCACTCAAAAGCGTGAGATTCTTGCCACCCCTTTTCGTGAAAACTTGGAATATTATGAGGGCACTAGGTCGCCTTTGTGGAAGGCGTAGACGAGTTGTCTACCTTATTCAGCCACTGCGTTCAAGCTCGCTTGTAGCAGTCTTGAAACCGCCTTTCGACAGAACCCGGACAAGTGCGGGTGGGCGAGAGTGTGTTAGATGCTGCACAGATCTGCCTCAATATAAACTTATTCACGCGCAAGTGACCGTCCTGAGCCCACCACTTCCTGGGGCCAACAGCAAACATACTCGTCCGTGATGGTTGAACTATCATTTGCATGCACTGGTTGATGGAATTTTGAGGACAACCATTTGCTATAAATTCTTTCCGACTTTGTTTCAGTTCAGCTACCTTGTCTTTCGTTTAGCAGAAACAGGTCCCAGCGCATCGACAGAGCGTTCTCGCGCAATTGTTTTCGGTTGCCGGTGAAGACCAGTATCCCCGTCATATTTGTGGCTCTCCTGATCGCTGTAGTGTTTAGACCATTAGCAAAGAGTAAA